CAGAATTTTAAATGCATAACATTTCATAGAACATGATAGGTTTCTCCACCTTCAAAAGAAGACTCAGAGCGAGACCAACCGCCAATGATCTTATTGAGTCTATCAATCCAACCAACTATGTATGTCGTACATTGGAACCACACACCAGAAAAACATCAAGCGTTCCCTTCAAGTGTCCCAATATCCACTTGACCACTTCCCAATAAGCTTTCCCCTTATTTCCTCGAACTGCCAAAGAAGTACCAACACGTTTGGACTGATCACGATAAAATTACTACAACACTTTCTCAATGAATTTAGAAATGTATAACCATACTGCTCTTCTATCCCTCCAAATCTTCGTCCTTGCTAATTCTATTCAGCTCCTAAATCGTTCATCACAAGCTCATTCTCCAGAAGCTTCATCACGTTGTCTTTCCCGACATCAGCTTCACCAGACACTTCTTCCCTAGGTTGTTCAAGGGATTCTTCATGTCTATGATGTTTCATGCCACCCTGATGTTCCGCATTTATCATAAAATTGTATGGGGTTTCCGTTTCAAACTCCACCTTCTGGCTAGCACCCTGAACGTTCCCCGTAACACTTGTACCACCTCCTATCTGGTTACACATAGCAGATTCAAAGGTCACATCTATGCTAATAATGAATTTTAGAGTCATTCCTTCTTCTGTACATCATAGAGGATGACCTTTCCCTCCAGATGCATATCCTACAAATATGCCCTTCATTACCATATGCTCCAGTTTACAATCATTCACACGAGCTTAAGCAGTGCATCCAAACATTCGTAAACCATAATTCTCATAGGGTTTCCCAGACCACACCTCTTGAGGAGTATTACATTAAATTATAGTTGACGGAGATCTATTCACCATATAGAAAGCAATGTTGACTTTTTCCACCATGAATTTCTTCGATAAATCAGCAGATAATGGTATGCGCTTAGCATGCTCCACCATTGTTTGGTTCATCTGTTCTGCCACTCCGCTTTGCTGTGGTGTTAGCCGTACACTGCAATACCTCACCGTACCTTCTGTTTTGCAGAAGTTGTCAAACGAATTCTTTCAGATCTCCAACATATTTTCTGTTCTGAATGACCTGACATGGTTCCTAGTCTGTTTCTCAACCATGGTCTTCCACTCCTTGAACCGCCCAAACACATCATCTTCGTCCTTTGTGAACACACCATGAGACTTTACAAGAGAGGGACCCCATAGATCTGAGTGAACACACTCGAGGATCTCCTTGCTTGAGTGTTGAACCGAACTGAAATTCACCCTACACTGTATCTCTTGAACACAAAGCTTCACTAGGTTTAGCATTTCCAGTTGCATGTCACCAAACAATCCATTCTCGCCAACATATCCCAACTTATGATGTCACAACGTCCTTTCATCATCATACTGATCCAAGGATTAGGATACAATCACCATTGCTCTAACCGTAGATCATTCTAAGATTAAAATCCCATGAGGATCCATGTTTCTCTTCATAACTACAAGAGAACCCTTGGAGACTCTTACCTAGTCACCCTATCTAGAATAATTCACTCCACCCTTTGCCAAAGTTCCTAAAGAAATCAGATTCTTTCGAAGCTATAGGACGAACCACCAATCCAGTTTCCTAACTATACTATCTTAGATTTTGATCTGTACTATGTTACTGCCCTTGATACTGCTCACCCAATCATCACCCATGTTGACTGTGCCATTCCACTATTTGAACGAGTCAAACACGATTACTTATAATATGATAGGATGCCCGAGAGTCCAAGACCCAAGCATCAATAGAACTAGACGTACATACAGTCAAAACTTCACCATCATCCCCTTCATTAGAATATCCTTGAACCACAACAACATTGTTTTTGCTTGATCCAACACCATTATTCCCTTTCTTCAGCAATGAACAATCTCTTCTAAAGTTCCCTTTTCCTTGCAGTTATAACATTTGATGTTGGATTTAGATTCGGAACTTGACTTCCCTGCTATGTTACCTTCACGTTTATTTGATGTTCTTCCTCTGCCTGCGAACAAACCGGAACTGGAAACTTCTTCTTTAACACAAGTGTTTCCTTTTAGTCACTTGGACATCAAAGAATCCTTCACATCATTCACAGTGATCGTTGTCCAACTATACAACATGGTATCAACGAAATTCTCATAATAATTCGACAGTGAACATGGGAGGATAAGTGCTTGATCTTCATATTCAATGTTTACATTCACACCATCTAAATCCAAGATGATCTTACTGAAGTTATCCAAATGATCCTTCACTTGGGTCCTTTATTACATCCTAAGATTATACAAATGTTGCTTTTAATACAACCTGTTTTTTAGAGAATTGTTCCGATACATTTCACGTAATTTCTCCCAAAGCCCAAATGTACTCGTTTGATCTATGACCCCCCCCCCCTCAGTACTCTATCTATCAAAATCAACAATATAGATATATGCGCTCTTGCTAGAATATCCACCTTCAATTCAGCCTCCATGTCCTTTGGTAGTTTTGCCTCTCCTTCCAGTGTCGCTACACATCCTTGTTGAACCAGAAGAGCCCTCATCTTCACCTTCCACAAAGTGAAGTCATTTGAAGCATTGAACTTCTCCAAATCAAACTTCTGAGTAGACATATTCAATCACAGGAACACAAACCGCAGCTCTAATAACACTTGTTAGGTAATTAGACAATACTTGTCAAGACTCAGTACAAATCTGATGCCACTTGTCAAGTTCTGATGACCTTTGTTAGGAAGTAATCTGGAAAACAAGCAAAACCAACAATACACAAAGACACACTTTTTACGTGGTTCGGTCAAAGTGACATACGCCCACGGCTAAGAGGGGTCACAAAGTTCTCAAATAGTGATTACAAGTATAACTCAACAGATATTCGTCCTACTTGCTAAGGATACAAATGACACGACACGTCAAATGACTTAGCATGCATCCCTATTTATATTTAATGGATCAAACCTAAAACCCTAATAGGCCACGCCCATTGGGCCATAGGCCCATGAAAGATATCAACCAATCACAATCTGTCATGCAGTAGCTTCTGGAACATTCATACTTGTCATACAACATATTAGCATCAACAACACACATGATAGAGCACCGTGAGCCATAGTGGAGCATCATGATCCACATGTGGCGTATCATGGACACTAGTGGCCCAACATCCATCATGGTGGCCCAACATGGCATATTCCTTGAGCATCACCAACTTCTGAGCATCCTTGAACAATCTTGAGCATCATAGAGGACTTCATAGCATATGTGGCTCATTAAGGATACCATGGCACATCAAGGAACCAAAAATGGCGCATCTTGCACCAAGATGAAACATCTTGACTGATGATAGCCCATCTTGTGCAAGGATGGCGCAACATCCATCAAGCTTGGCACAACTTCCTTCTAAGTGGCACAACTTCCTTCCAAGGTGGTGCAAGATCTTCCATGTTGGTTTAACTTCTTCCAGGTGGGCGCAAAATCAACATCTACTAGAGTGCCGCAACATGGTCCAATGTGGCGCAATGTGATGCCAATGGCGCAACATGCTTGCCTAAGGTGCAATATGCTTGTTACTTGTCCCAACACTTAATCAAATGGCGCAACTATGCACATTTGCTCCATTCCAATCCCAAGTGCTCCATACCCCCTTTTAGACGATTCGTTCATTTGGCACTTGATCCGTTCCTTTGTTAGATGATTCATTCCCTTCTAAGATGATTCATTCCCTTCTAAGATGATCCATTCCTTTGTTACATGCCTCATGAACCCCAAGTGCCCCATTGAGTTCCAAGTGCTCCATTGAACACAAATGCTCAATGTGAATGCTCCAAATGCTCAATTCACATTTAATAGTGAAGTTTAGTTGACATTTACGGGTCCATGATTCATCTGATGCAATTAATCAATTAACAAAATGTGGTGGTAATAAATTTGCTAACATCGGCTAAATTATAAATTACCTCTCGGTCTCATGATTCTATTTAATTTCACTCACTCATATCTTTATGCAACTCATGAAATTAAAAAGCATTAGGTTTAGTGGTTCTGTTAAAAGTACACCAACACACGTCTATGTTGATTTTAAGTGGGATCACGAAATCATACACTTATGTTTAAATGATTTCCCAACTAACGCTCATCTCCGGTCAAAAGTTTTACTTAATTACTCAAATTTATATTTAACATCCATTATTGGTCAGATAATAAACATTGTCAATTAACCTAACTTCATTAAGCAATTTTGACACTAAATACACATTTAAACAGAAGAAAACAATTGCCGCAACTTGTATCAATTAACTTAACACATTAAAAACATCACTTAAAGAAAACAATTGCCACAACTTGTATCAATTAACTTAACACATTAAAATCATCACTTAAAAGAAAACAATTGCCACAACTTGTATCAATTAACTTAACACATTAAAATCATCACTTAACTCCATTTAACTTAACCCACTAAAATAAATTACTCCATGGCAGTTAATTAAACAAAAATACACCTAATAAAACTAGTGTTTGACATATTTTCTGCGAATAATAGGAGTAAATTTAAAATCAATTAAAAGGAAAAATAAAAGAGGCATAAAGCAAGAGTACTCCCTTTTTCTGTGTTATTGCCTGCGAGCCCACAAAAAGAAAGAAATACCCAGCCCAATATTTAGGCCTAAAGAAATAAACCCAGCAACCCACAATGAGATCTAACAGGCCACACACGCTTCTTGGATCATTCTGGTGGCGTGCCTATCCCATATCCCAGCAGGAGAAGGAAGTCGACTCCTCTTTCTTTCTTCTCCTTCGCTTGATCGACTGCCACACAAAAATCACAGGACCATGTACGCTCTTCTTATCCCACTCTTCTTTTCTCTTCTCAAAATTGCACAAAACCACCGCTTTTCTTTACTTTGAATCGAAATCATAGGTTGATTTCTAAGATGATAATATTGGGGGCGTGAAGATGAAGCAGTGGTGGACCGGTGATGTTGGTGAATGTGGCCTTTCAGGGAAGAATCGACGGCAATGCTGACGTATTTCTGACCAGGAGAAGGCGGTTGTTCTCTGATTTTCTTAGCAAATGGTCCTTGGCTGATTCAGATCGATATGACGGTAGTGCTTTCTTCGAATTTGATGGTGTTGGTTGGAAAGGTAAGGTGTATGGTGATATAAGGTGGTTCAATGGTGTATGTGCTGTGATGTTCATTCGGTGGTTATTAAGGTGGTGTACGGTTGTTTGTGATAAGGGTGGTTTATGGTGGGAAAATGGTTGTGGAATGTGGGGTGATCGATGATGGCTAAAGGCTCGTTAGGGAGGTGGTGGAGGTTCAAGTGGGGATTTTCTTGGTGTTTTCGATTGGCTGAATGGTGGGATAAAGGTGGATAATTGGTGAGGTTGCGAAGGGAGTTAATGGGTGAAGGGTATTGGTGAAGATCGAATATGGATGCCAATATTTTTATTTCCAAGAAACTCAAAAGTTGAAGTCAACAAATGACTTTTTCTTCTTGAAATCATCATGTCATCAAATTGGAAACCTATTCAGTTTTCCTTCACATTTCACATTGTGAATCTCACAGCAACAAAAATGCTATAAATGTAGTCTTTCTTTTGGATTTAAAAATGACTTGTTGAACAATCAACTTAAACCTTGTCTGATTCCGTTTTATCTCATTTCTCTTTCGTGTGTTTCGAGAAGAGCATAATAGACCTTAATGGACTTAAAATTGGCTCACAAAATAAACTTGAAATTTAAGAATTTTTGGGCCTTTTAAATCTTGTAATTTTACACTTTGATGTTTGTTTCTTGTTGACTTATGTTGTTGAAATGGGTTGCAAAATATTTTATGTTTAAATCACATCTGCAACCAAACTCGGACATCTCCAAAATGAGAAACATCATTGATAGAATTTGTGCATCCACAACCTATCCGTCAATTCCTTGTAAAACTCATTTGGACTTCATAAAAATGAAGGTCGTTACACGGTCAGTTCCTTAAAAACTTTGAACTTTATGAAAAGAAGTTCAACTCTCATCAACCTGTCGAATAGGAGATGAGGAACCCACCAAAGCAGGTTGCATTTTCTTTAACAAGCGAAATAAATTTTCATTAATTCGTTATCAAAATAATTTGGAATTCATGAAAAGAAGACAAACTCTTACCAAAATCTATGGAATAGGTAGTAGGGAACCCGTGAATCACATGTCGCACTTGTAATAATAAGTGAAATAAAAAACTGTCAATTCAGTTGTAAGCACAACATTTTATATTTTGATTTTCATAAAAAGAAAACCAACTCTCACCATTTATTGAATAAGCGGAGGGAACCCGAGGGATTCGGGTTACACTTGTAACGACAAGTGGTGATGTAAGTCATAACTTCATATCAATTACCTTTTAAAAAGTTATATTTCGATTCCGTGAGATGAAAACCAACTCCCACTGATACTAGTCGAATAGGCGATGAGGACCTACGAAACATAGGTAAACTTGTAAAAACAATTTAATGAGTCGTCAATCCGATTAAGAACTTTGGACTTCAAAAAAGGAAGCCAAAATCCCATCAACCTATCGAATAGGCGATGATGGACCCACCAATGCAGGTCAATCTCATCTGAATGGGACAAAGAAACATCAGCCAGGAGATTTGAAATTAATCGCAAAATTTAACTTAAATTTGTCTTTTTAAGCTACAAAACCATGTAAAAAATATTAAAATTGGGGTAAAAATAAACTTTTTAATACATTTAGTGATCGTAAAATGAGCACTAAACACATCCACAAACTTTAAACATTGTTTATCCCGAGCATTAAAAAGAGAATTAAGCATTAAGAGAAGAAAACTCTCTGATGGCATGTCATCTTCAAAAAACTTTGATTTTTTCTTAAACGCATATCGTCAATGGTTGATTTCTCATTTAGCTCATCTCTATCTCAACTAACAAAAATTTCTGCACAGTCAACAAAATCATCAGAACAAACAAACCATAAAAAACGACTAAACTAACAATACATATGTAACATCCAGTTTCAGGATGATTCTTAATTGAGGGTTTGTGGATTGTAATTCGATCATGTAAAGGCTTTGGGCTTTGAGGAAGTAAAGTTTTGACCTTATTGAGGGTTAACGATAGTGGTTATGAGATCTAAGCCCTTGTTTTGTGTGATGGAACCAAATGGTAAAAAGGGAAAAGTTATATGCCATGCTTCTTGCATGTATTGTGGTTTTAGTTTAACATGTGTTAAACCAAAAGTAACTAGATAGGATTGTGTGACTCTTCAATACCTTTCTGTGCATATAAAGAGTGCCAAAAATGGAGTTGAAACAAAGAAGTTATGGTCGTTTGATGTTGAATGGGAAGTTGGGTGTTTTGGCTCTACGTTGGGTGTAATAGATCTACGCATCGCGTAGATGCTGAATTCTTAGACGCGGGTTAAATGACATACGCATTGCGTAGGTTATGGTACGTACGACGTAATCGTGGCAGATCAAAACCCTAATTCCTCAATTTTGAGCCATGTTTAAGGGCTCTAACTTCTTGGGAACCCTCTCATGACCAGCCTCTGTTACCTAAGATCATTCCCTAAGAAACCCTAGCATCTTATTGTTATTGGTCATTTTTGTCACTTTTTGGTCCCTTGAGCTTGTGTTTTGGGAGTTGAGAGAACTCCAACACCTTTTGAGCTATATGGAACACTCTTGGGACTTGTTGGACTTGGAAAGTTATGCTTTGGTACTTGTTCATTAAGCCATGAAAGTTGTGTTAGCATCTTTGGTCATTTTAGTACATAAAGTTTAGATCTTGCTTGATTGGAGTGTCTTAATGGGTAAAGTTGGAAACTTTATCCATTAAGACATTATAAAGGTCCATATTTGAAAGTTTGAAGGATTGAATTTCTGTACTAAGAGCTTATTGGAAAAATTGGACATCAGTTGCTACGTGGGGTGTAATTTCCCTTACGCAAGGCGTAAGTTGGTTTTGGCTCATAACCATCTAAAGCTCTATGCCATGCGTAGAGTAGCTTGTACGCATGGCGTAAGATGGTTGGCCACTGACGTTTTGACCGTTGACTTTTGACCAAGTTTGACTTTAGGTCAAATTGAGTATTTTGAGCTGTAGATTGAGACTTGGCCCCTATTTGTTGCATCGGTGACCTCTAGAGTCAGTTACTGGATATGTGATCATCACCATTATCTTCTAGACTACAAGGTGAATGTTCTCAATATACTTGCATGTGTGGTAGTATACATGTTGACCAAATTTGTCTTATTTGTCATTGTTGTTATTTGTGAACTGATTTGACAGACTGTTGTGAGTCCATGGGACAGTTGATAGTCCCCAAGGTTGATGATAACCCATAGTTGTTTATATAGTTGTGATGTATGTGATATTTAGGACTGTTGATAGTCCCAGGGATGTTGATAACCCTTAGTTGATTGTTATGATGTGTTGTATGTGGTATTTCGGGGAACTCACTAAGCTTTATTCTTACATTTGTAGATTAAATATTTTGCAGGTACTAAACGGATTGCAAAGGCGGGACTGTACACACACATCAACAGATTTATGATTTGAAATTTCGCATTACCTTCTTATTAACTTTGACGACTGAATAGTGGTTTATGAATAAATGGTTGTATGTTACATCTTAATTTTTCAGGTATTCTTTTTTGACCCTTGGATTGTGATTTGTTTGAAAAATTGGTCCCCAATGGCATTTTCGTAATTACTAGCCATGTATGAGTACGTTGGGCGTACTCTGAGTACGTTGGACGTACGTAGCCAGGGTGCAAACCCTAATTTTTAGGGTTTGGACCCTATTTAAACACCTTTATGGCCTCATGCACCCTCTTAACTTACCCCTCCTCACTCAAGGCCTTCGATCCAGCATCTATATTCCTTTGTGCATCTTCTGGAGGTATAAAGCTCTAACCTTGATGAACATTTCTTTTAGATCTAGTTTTAGCATAAAGTTGGTTCCTTTTTGTCCCAAATCTTGACCTTTGTGAGCATGAAATGCTCCACGACGTTTGAGTTGTCCTTTCAGATGTTTAGGGGTGTGTTAAGTCATAAAAATGGGATCTTCGACATTGGTTTCTTCCCATGCACAATCTAGGTTGTCTTAATGGGTCAAGAAGCTAGGGTTTTTGTTATTTAGGTCTTAATAGCCATGCAAAACCATAAAGTTGGAAACTTTATGGTTAAGATCACCTTTAAGGGTTTTGATTTGGATTTTGGATGAAGGTGCTTAAGGATTAAGCACTTAATGGGTTGAGTTGGTTGGAAGCCGCGTACGTTGGGCGTACCAAAGGGTACATTACACGTACGTGTTCAACCTCTCATTTTTGGTCAAACGTGTGGTACGCCCCACGTACCTGTTGAGTACACCCAGTGTACTCACTGAGTCGACTCGGTTGACTCAGTTGACTTTGACCTGGATTTTGACTAGGGTTTGACCTAGGGGTATTTTAGGTATTTTTATTTGTATGCTGAGATTGTTGTCACTGAATTGATTAAGGTGACGGATAGAGTTGGTCTCAGAGCAGTATGCTATTTAGTTTTCTCATGTGTCTGTGGGGTGAGTTTTCTCATTGTATCCATGGGTCGAAGGCACCAACGTCAACCCATTATTGTGTTATTTAGGCTGATAACTATTGTGTGGTTTACATGAGTTTGTATGATGGGTTGAAATAAACCCCAGGGTGGGGCCCATTATTGTATGTTTGGGTTGAAATAGACCCCAGGGAGGGTCCCACTATTGTATGATCGGGTTAAAAAATACCCTAGGGCGAGGCCCTAGGGCAGGGCCCATATGTGTTGATCAGGTTCAAATACACCCCAGGGTGGGGCCCATATATGTATATCAGGTTGGTTAAACCCTAGGGTTAAGACCAGTTGTGTGTTTTGGTATGTGGTACTTTGGGGAACTCACTAAGCCTTGTGCTTATAGTCTATGTTTATGGTTTCATGTACTTCCGGTTCGAAAGGGAAGGGCCCGACCTGATGGCACAATGTCACACCCCCAAACCGGAACGACGGAAATGTTCGGGGGCGAAAGACGTCATGTACAGTATCACAACAATTGCATAATAGTAATCAAAGTACAACAACCATTACATTGATAAATTATGGTTTTACATTCGTGTTCAAATCAATGTATACTTGACACAAAAGGTATATCAAAAGTTAAAAGACATGAGTCTATGAAGCTCCGTCTTCACAAAACCTGTGGATACCTTTTTACTGATTTCCTGAGAATACAAGTAGTTTTGAAAAGAGTGTCAAAAATAAAG